TTATGCTCAGAAAAGTGTACATATACATATAAGAAATAGGATGAAAGCAATAAAACTAGACTGGAAACATGCCAATTATTTATTGAGATGTGAGGGGTCATGGGTAAGTTTGTTTTCTCTTATTCTATTTTTTTCCCCCTCGCAAAATATTTCCTCCAATTTTTCTGCAGTGGACATAACTTTCTATTTTCAGAAAGCTTTCTCTTTCTTTCTCAGTAGCAAGTCATGTATTGAATCTCAAAAGTGATGGAGGTTGTGAACAGAGGTTCTAAGAGAGGTTGGCACTTGTCCGACCCATGATGGTTATGTGACTGATACTGTCTTATGATTTCTTATTGTGTGTATGTATGTGTGATGGAAATCTTTTATTTTATTGTTTAAAGTATTACATATAGTAGTACATTTATCTCCTTTTTTCCCCTATAAACCTTCCCCCAGCCTGCCCTACCCCTTGTCACATGCCCTCACCTCTTCCCCCCTCCCCCCAGTGTCTGTGTCCATTGGTTGTGCTTTATGCATGCATACAAGTCCTTCAGTTGATATCTCTTTCCCCCCCTCCCCAACACTCCCCTGCCTTCCCGCTGTAATTTGACAGTCTGCTCGGTGCTTTATTGCTCTGTGTCTATCTTTTTGTTCATCGGGTTATATTGTTCTTTATTTTCCATAAATGAGTGAGATCATGTGGGATTTTTATTTCATTGTCTGGCTTATTTCACTTAACATAATGAGCGCCAGGTGGCTTCGGGAAGTCCTGCTGGGATTCATCCACCTAAGACAATTTTAGAGGGTCACACTTTTCAGTGAGGTGGAGGTGAGACCAAAGAGTCAAGACCCAGCCGTTCTCAGACATCTTAGCACTGATGATGGCCGTGTCTCACTTGATCCTCTCCCAGGACTGTGAATGGCAATACTCCACCCCGACAGAGTTCTGCTGGCATCAGGAAAACCTGTGAAGCAAATTCAACAGCACTTCCACTTTCTCCTTTTCCTATCAGCGAGACATCTGTCTACACTAGGAAATCTGTAAGTACACTGCAGGCATTTAACATGGAGGTTGGTAAGCGCTTTAAAAAGAATTTTTACTTAAAAGAGTTAAAAATAACCAACACATTTGGATGAAAGTGTTGGGGGAGATGCACTATTTGGGGTGTTCCATTGGACATGGCTGTCATTAGTTTTATTTTTTTAATTTATTTTTATTGTTACTATGACAGGTGTCTTTATTTCTCCCCACCTCATCCTTTGCCCACCTCCACCCAGCCCTCTCGCCCCCTTCCCTCTGGCCATCACCACCCCGTTGTCTGTGTCTATGGAGTATGCATACACAGCAAGTCCTCAGGTTACCTTGGACTCGACATACGTCTTCTGTGGTTACCATCTCCCATTTGTTTATAAAAAAAAAAAGTTCCGTCATTTTGATGTATGTACATATGTGCTTTATATTTTTTATTACTTACAAGTAAAGCTCAGGAATTATCTTTCTTTTAGATTATTTTTACTGTTTCACTTCATTGCTGTTGTGTGTGTGTGCTCCATGCGAGTGACGTAGGTGCTTATTATGCAGGGGAGTTCCGACTTTCAGTGAAAATCGCTATGAACGGATCTCCGACATACCCCAGGACCTACTATGTGTTCTTGGGCTGATCCCTTCAGTCATTAGGTAGCTATATTTACTTTACCAAGTACAGGAAATGGGAGCCACATAAAACACTCACCTCCCTGAAAGGGAGACTTAGCTATTGCTTATGGTCACTGTTTGGTTAATTCCTATTGCTTTGTTCTCTGCAGCTGGCTGCACTTATCAGGTTGGGTTCCTGTCAAGCTGATTGTAATGACAGCCCTTCCTACAAAATACTGTGCTCCGTTTTAACCTTTAGCAAGAACAGTATTTAGTAAGAACTGCCCAGACCTTCAGACCCTTATCCCAACAAATGGAGTTGAGCTGACTTGACTAAATAACATTTAAAAGAAAGGATACTGTAAAATGGAAATTTAATTGTGCCCATTCTGTTTTTGGTTTTTTCTCTTACAACTGTACAGCATCAGATTTTGAGTCCCAGAGGGAAAACAAAGATCCTGACAGGTCCTAAAGAAAGAATTCAAAGCTCCTACCAGCCCCTAGGGGCTAAGCAGTGTGTGAAGACACAAGCACGGTGCACAGTAGGTCTCTGACCCTTAGGGTGAATTTTTATTACAAAGATGAGGTCATTTCTAAGGAATTTAAGGAATGTATTTACTGATACTTCAAGTGTTGGAAAAAGCTAGAAATAAGTCTTCTTTCATCAATGGAGAAAAGAGTGAATAAAAACCACTGGTTTTGAGTTTGATATGATTTCTTGGGCAGTATGCCTTCAGCTGATTTTATTAAACAAAAGACCGACACCTGATTAGGATGAAAGTGAACTAAAAATAACAATAACACGAACGCCCAGCTGGTGTTGCTCAGCAGTAGAGTGCTTGCCCAGAAACCAAGAGGTTGCCAGTTCAATTCCTGGTCAGGGTACATGCCAGGGTTGCAGGCTCAGTCCCCAGTGAGGGCCTGCAAGAGGCAGCTGATCAGTGATGTTCCTCTCTCATTGATGTTTCTATCTCTCTATTCCTCTCCATTCCTCTATCTCTAAAAATCAATAAGAACATACTTAAAGAGAATAACACTAATAATAATAATAATAATGGCTAACATTGATCATTCACTACATGCCAAGCATTGTTCTAAGTATTTTCCATTTAACTTAATCCTAGGGGGGGAAAAACCCCTATGAGGATGATAGAATCTATTATCCCTATTTAACAAATAAGGACACAGGCACACAGAACTCCATAGAAAAGACAACCAAATGATGCTGCTTTTGATCAATGTTAAAAAGGCTTTTCTTGCTGAAACTGGTTTGGCTCAGTGGATAGAGCGTCGGTCTTCGGACTGAAAGATTCCGGTCAAGGGCATGTACATTGGTTGCATCTCTGGTAGGGGGTGTGCAGGAGGTAGCTGGTCCATGTTTCTCTCTCGTTGTTTCTAGCTCTCTATCACTCTCCCTTCCTCTCTGTAAAAGATCAATAAAATATATTAAAAAATAAAAAGGCTTTTCTTATTGACTAGTCAATGCTCTATCACGTGTGGCATACGATGACTCACAACCAAATTTACTAACTCGGGTTTGAAATCTATCAGCCAAGGTTATCCTCATAGGCAGGCAGGGTTGTTGAGGGTGGTGGGAAGGTGGGGAGATACGGGATCTTTATTACCTCTTCTACCCACCAGGTGCTTTTGCACACAGGATGAGCTCAAGTCAGGGGCTCATGGGCCTGAGAACTGTTAGTGGTGACTCTTCAGCCAACAGGCCTGCAGGACTCGGGAACGTCGAGGTGACGCCAGTACTTCTCATGAACGTGAGTTGGAAAACCCAAGATCACCTTGACTCCCTAGAAGACCTGCTAAAGGCCATCCCCAGCCTTGAGGAGAGAGATGATCCTATCCTTGCCTACCTCAGTGCAGTTGGTTTTTTTTTTTTTTTAATTTTTTTTATTAACAGCATATCATGGAAATCTTTATTTTTAATATATTTTATTGATTTTCCACAGAGAGGAAGGGAGAGAGATAGAGAGCTAGAAACATCGATGAGAGAGAAACATCGACCAGCCGCCTCTTGCACCCCCCCCCCTCCCCCGCCAGGGATGTGCCCGCAACTAATGTACATGCCCTTGACCGGAATCGAAGCTGGGACCTTTCAGTCTGCAGGCAGACGCTCTATCACTTAGCCAAACCGGCTTCGGCTATTCCCATAATTTTAGATAAAACCAACTGCACTGCCGAAACCAGTTTGGCTCAGTGGATAGAGCGTGGGTCTGCAGACTGAAAGGTCCCAGGTTCAATTCCAGTCAAGGGCATGTACATTGGTTGCGGGCACATCCCCGGTGGGGAGTGTTTAAGAGGTGGCTGGTCGATGTTTCTCTCTCATCGACATTTCTAACTCTCTATCTCTATCCCTCTCTCCTCCTCTCTGTAAAAAAATCAATAAAAGATATTAAAAAAAAATAAAATTATGGGAATAGCATGTAGATATAAGGAAAGTGCATGCTAGCTTACATTTACATCCAATTTACCCATAAATGCTTCACTATTTCAGTAGAAATTTCGCCCTGAATATACTGACCTCATGCCAAGGACTCTGCTACACATCAAAGAGTGAAAGCCCTTTATCATTTGAATTTTATGACCGATCATACAAGGTTCAACAAACAACTGCCCACAGATCAAATCAGGCCATCACCGTTTGTATGGTGAATGTGCTAACAATGTCCTTTCACTTTTAAATAGATGGAAAGAAATGATAAGAATAACATTTCAAGACATTGGAAAATTACATGAAATACAAATTTTCGTGTCCCTAAATAGTTTTATTGGGGCACAGCCACCTGCATTATTTGGTAAGAAGATGCTTTACCAGCTGTATGACCTACACAAGCCACATGACCTCTAGGCCTCATCTGACTCATCTATAAAATAGGGACATACTGCTGAAACTGGTTTGGCTCAGTGGATAGAGAGTTGGCCTGGGGACTGAAAGGTCCCGGGTTCTATTCTGGTCAAGGGCATGTACCTTGGCCTTGCGGGCACATCCCCAGTAGGGAGTGTGCAGGAGGCAGCTGATCAATGATTCTCTCTCATCGATGTTTCTAACTCTCTATCCCTCTCTCTTCCTCTCTGTAAAAAATCAATTATATAAATATATATTTTTTTATTTTATTTTATTTTTAAATAGGGACATACTTTCCCAGTCTTGTCTGCCTGGAGGCAAGACGTGGATCAGAGGAGATTTGAGGGCATTTCGGTAAGGTAGGAAACACTGTGAACAGCCATCCCTCAAAAGCCAAGTCCCATTGTCTTGTTAATTCTCTCGGTAACCAAATACCTGCCCTTCAGTCCTGCCAGTCAGCAGTCTATTTCCAGAGGGGGTGCCTGGCTCCTCAGATTCCCAAACCACGCCACGCTACTAAAGGGATAATAAAGATGGAACTTAATAAAAAGAGGAATAAGTGGAATAAAAATGAATTCTTTCCAAAGCACCAGAAGAAATGTGTCTTCAACAGCATCAGAAGTATTTTCAATATGGTCTTGACTACATAGCTTATTAATAAAATAACCCTGGACATGGAAAATATATACAGTCATTTTATAGCAAACTATACATTTCCACCTTCAGATCAGAAGCTTTATCTGGGTGTGTTAAACATTCAGACAATCAACATTTTCAGATGCAAAGCCTTTTCACTGGCCTAAAGTGGACACTTCGGGGTAAAGCTCCTTGAAGTGGCATTTCCCCGTGGGAGCTCCATTCGCAGCTCCTCTGCGTTCTCTCTAACACCGAACCGCGAAAGCAGAAAAAAAGTGCACACGCCAGCAGAAAGGCAGCGCTGTTTGCTTGCTGCTCTGTTTTACTTTTTCAGCTTTTATAAAACGTCCTGCTTTGGAGTCTTAAAGAGAATGCGAGTTAGCAGAAACCAGATGAGTGCGGGGTATTGCAACATGGGAATGAACAACAGATCGTCTTATTTCAAAAAGCCCCGCATTCTGTTAATTTCAAAACACCCGCTCCTTCCGAACGACGCGGGTCTGAGACCCTCACAGTAATGAAGTCACAAAGAGGTAGTATTTGCTTACAATTCTCCTTTCCCAGCACCGCCAGCCCCGCGGCCAGTTCTCGGTTGCGGTCGGTCCGTTGCGGGCGGGGGTTCCGGGAGGAGCGTTTTCGGTTCCCGAAGATCTGCGCTCACCCCCCCGCCCCGCACATCGCTCCGGCTCCGGCTCCCTGGTTCACCTCCTGGTTCACCTCCTGGTTCCCTCCTCGGTTCACCTTCTGGGGCTTCGTGGCCGAGGAAAGTCGGTCTCTCCGCAGCCCGGGGGTCCCTGCGCCCCGCAGCCCGCGTCGCCGCCGGTGCGGAAGGTGAGCACGGTCACGGCGCGCTCCGCGGTGCGGGTGGCCAGGCAGCCCCGCGCCCACTCGGTGAGCTGCACCTCCTCCGTGGCCCGGTAGTCCTCCACCCGCACCAGCACGCTGGGCGGCCGCGCCGCGGGGGGAGCCCGCGTCTCCCGGGGTGAGTGAGCGGGAGGGCACCCCTGGGCCTCCCGGTCCGCGCCCTCCTCCCGCGCCGGGTCCCCGCGAGCCCGCTGCCCGCGCTCCGGGTGGAGAAGGAAGAGCACCTTCTCTCGGACCCGGGACTCGGAGTCCAGGTCCTCCCCGGCCCCGCGGGCCTCGGGGGCGCCGCCCGCGCGGCCGCTCGCCCCCGCCGCCGCCTCTGGGGGCCTCGGGGTGCCCGCCGCCCGGGGGGGCCCGCGCCCCGCCTCGCGCAGGAAGAGCTCGGCGCGCCCCAGGCCCAGGGGGGCGCGCGCGGGGGGCGCAGCTCCACGGAGACGCGGGGCCCCCATCCCGGCAGGAGGCTCATTCATCCGCCGGCGCCGTCCCCGGTTCCGCTGCCGACTCCGTCCGTCCGTCCGTCCGTCCGAGCCCGGAAAGCGCGGGACCGGCCGCCGCGTGTGGCCACTCCCCTGCCCCCGCCCCCGGGGTGTCCCGCCCGCGGAGCTGGGGGTGATCGGATGGGGCGAACCTGGGACCGGACCCGCCACTCCCTCCCCTCCCTCCACTCCCCTCGCCTCCTCCCTCGCCCCGCGTGCAGCCATTTAGAGACTAAAAGTCTGACCTCCCGAGGCCACAGCTCCGGCTCCGGCCCCTCTTTCCTCGCATCCCACCCCCCACCCCCTACCCCTCCTCCCCCAGCTCCCCCGGTGCCCAGGCGCGGACACCCTGCTCTGCGCACCTCCGGGTTGGCCGACCTAGCAGCTCCCAGGACGCGCCTCCTGGTGCAGGAACGAGGAAGTTCCCTGGAAAAGTGATCTGACCTCATCAAATTCTTCTGAAAAAGGGCTCCTGTCCACTCGGACCCACCCCACCCCCCACCCCACACCCCACCCTGGGCCTAGGCAACCGAATGTCGCTCCAGGGATCAGACTGGGAAAGGGGACGCCGGTGGGAGAGGGCTTCGGTTTGCCGGTCCCCCTTCTGTGGGACTGTGGGCCTGGGCTGCACTTGTCTCCCCTCTGGTGACAGTCAGCGTGCTTCCCAGGAGAAGCCTTGGTGCCTTTGACCAAATGGAAGCAAAGCGCTAAACGAACTTCTTGAGGATTTAAGATGTGTTCATATTGTTTTTTTTCCCCGTCACCCCCCCCCCCCCCCCCTCCCGGGCCCCTTCTCCCCCAGTCCCCTCTCTTTAACGCCAGAGGTGGAAAATGGATGTGTGTGCTCTTATGTGTGTGCTGTTGGCATCTGCTTACTGCGATCCCCTCTGCCACACTAATCTCCGCCGGAGGTAGGTGGAAGCTAACGAAGAGGAAAATGGGTGTGTGATGTCCCGTCCATTCTTAGGTTCCGGTACTTGTTTTATTAGACACTGCTCAGTGTTCCTCTCTGCCTTAGAAGAAATACAGCAGCGGTAGAAATGTTTGCCCATATAGCAAGGGCCAAGTAGCCTGCCAGGTCTTAGAATTAGGAAAAGTGTGGTCGATGAGAAAACCTGGGTCAGACCTGGTGGATTTGAGGCCTGGCCTTGGACTGGTTTCTGGTAAATTACAGCTCACTGAAGTTTTTTGAGGGTTTTTAGATTTAAAACTCATTCACTCTTTGCAACAAACTAAGGGAGGCGTGATCCTGTTGTAATTAACTAGTTATTAACAGCAGGAAAGGAGCAAAGGAAAGGCCAGACACTATAGGCTTGTCTATTGGGCAGCTTCACCAGGAAGCTACAACTTCACACTCCCCGGGGCCCAACAAAGGGGAGCAGGAGCATGCCCAGTAAAGTTGGGGTAGCATAGGGAAGGTGCTTGCTGTCAAAAAGGTCATTGGCCAGAGTGGGCGTGGCCACTGTAAGGGCAGGACATTTGGGATAGTTTAATCCCCTGAATGAAGGAGTACACGCCCTTCGTTCCTCTTGCTGCTCTGGGGACTTTTGTGATTTTGGGATTGTGGGGGGCTCCCTTTGTGCTCCCCCACATGGCCCATGGTCATGTGGCCCCACACACAATGGACTAATGGACTGCAGCTAGCCATGGTCATGTGACCCCATACACAATGAATTAATGTTCTGCAGCTAGCCATGGTCATGCAGTCCCACTCACAATGGACTAATGGACTGCAGCTAGCCATGGTCATGTGACCCCACACACAATGGACTAATGGTTGCAACTAGCCATGGTCATGTGACCCCACACACAATGGACTAATGGTCTGCAACTAGCATTGGTCATGTGACCCCACACACAATGGACTAATGGTCTGCAACTAGCCATGGTCATGCGGCCCCACACACAATGGACTGATGGACTGCAGCCATGGTCATGTGACCCCACACACAATGGACTGATGGACTGCAGCCATGGTCATGTGACCCCACACACAATGGACTGGAACTAAAGGGCTCCAACGTGGAAAGGGAACTCTGGACTCTGATCTGCTTCTAGCTTTGCGGGAAGGATGTAATTCCATGGAAATAGCGTTCTACCATATCTCACCCTCTGCAAATGCTTATCCCAGTGGTACTCCAAGAACCCCACTTCCACCGATAACAGAAGTATTACTCCAGTCTCCTTGACAATTTTGAAGGACAGGGAGGTCACGTATTTATTTGCCCAGGGTCAAGCACTCATAAAGAGTGGAGCCAGAAATTAACTGCCTGTTTTAAGCCTATGACTTCATGTTCTTTCCTGTTCATTTACTTGACCAGTAATGACCGAGTGTGTGCTGAGTGTCCGCCGCTCTTCTAGGTGATGGGGACAGGGTGCGGGAGGGGAAGAGACAAACCGAATTGCTTGTCCTCTTGAAGTATTCGTTATATGTAGTAACACAAATCAAGTTCTCTATCCAGAAATAAGAGATGATAAATGAACTTTGATGTACATGAACATCACCTGCAAATTAATGCCCTAACCTACTCTCAGATTCTGTTCTCATAAGTTTGGAGTAGGGCTTAGAATATGGGGTTTTAGCAAGACCCTCAGTGATTCTGATCCAGAGTCCCTGGACAACTTTATGAGAAACATCACCAAACATCAGCTTAGATAAACTCGAGGGTTTTTTTTTGTTTGTTTGTTTGTTTGTTTTGTTTGTTTGTTTTTCTGCTTTCAAATGGCAACAAGAACACTGTATTTTCCTTCTTTACAGGAATATTGGGGAAATTCCAGTGAAGAGGTCTGTATTCCTAGGGAAGCCTAACGTAAACCACAAGATTTATAGCTTCCAGTATTTCAGTATTCAGCATTTCAATATTGGAGAATGAGAAAAACCCCTTTGTTGAGAAGTGAGAGGCACCTATCACATAGCACCTGAATTTCCAGATGTCAGGAAGTTGTATGTAAATGCATAGAAGAACATGAGGGGGAGGAAATGCTAAGTACATTGAGCTTCCATGAGACAAAGCCCAGCAAGACTGGAAGCCAGAGAAACAGGTGGCGTGCCTCCAGGGTGGTGGTGTTTGCTGTGCCTTAATGACTCAGAGTGCCAGAACGGTTGAGAAAGGTTGTAAAGGACCCCCCTGGCTCTCTGGATTGCTTATTATAGTTTTGGGCCGGTCAGGTAGTATAATAATTTATACCCCTGAGGCCCAAAAAGTCACAGCAGACGTTGTCAGAGGAAGCCTGTCATTTGGAGGTAGCCCAGTCTCCCAAGGACCTGGCTCTCTCATTTGCCTATTAGATTCAGACGTTATTTTAAATTCTACTATACTCTTATTCTCAGTTATTCTAGTGCCTTTGCCTTTAGGAGGTTTAACACACACACACACACACACTTGCAGGCCTCTGGCTTTGTTTTATAGCCAGGGCGATATTTTATAGCTTTCTTCTCGTAGCAGATCTAAAATTCTTGACTTGGGAAACTGGCCTAGTAAACAGTTTATTTGTTTGTTTTTTTACTCATGGAAAATTAAAAATAAAGCGACCCTGCTGGCAGCCAGGCCGTGTTGGTGCCAATGGCACTTAGCGAACACTCACACATATAAATGTCCATGTGAAGGACACGCTGAGACCAGAGACAAAACCATAAAAAAGATCCAGCATCTCCCCCTCCACTCCCCTATGGTTAACATAATTGGCCCTGCTGCGTTACCCATGATGCCGCTCTCCTGCTCCTGCTTAAATTCTCTGGCTTGCTAGATAAAAATCACCAAGGCACCCTTTCTCTGCATCGCCCTCTCCTTGACGAGATCTAATCAGGAACAGTTCCTGCTTCCTTGGAATCAGCTACCTTGAGTCTGAATCCTCTGAGATGTGCCTCCCAGCTCCACGTAATGACAGGTCCCCGAATTTCTCCGAGGTGCATTCTAGCTTGCCGAAGCGACTGGCCTGAGCGAGAGAAATCAGCCTAATTAGATTTGTAGTGCAGGTGTGTTCCTGCTGGTCTTTGGCTGCTGCCGTGGTTTACCATTTACTAATTTGGAAAGTTTATGGTGCCACACCCTGACGTGAAGTAGGAAAATTGTTGGGACAGGAAGAGGCTGGGGTGAAAGAGGAGGGCAAAAGCTGCTGCCAGAATGGATTTCTAGTGGTCTGGCTATAGGCAGCTTGGGGTGGCTCTGACATTGGGATATGAATCAGTATCTCTCTTGAATCAGTACATTCATCAGACAAAGTCATATGGTAATAGGGTTTCACTTTTAAAACTCAGGAAATGCAAAGAGTTGTGGCAAATGGAATAGTCAAGAAATGTTTATTTCAGCGTATTGGCACCGTTCCCATTTCTACACCCGGGTGGAAAGTGTCCGAGAAGCTTGTACCGGGGCCCTGGGCAGTGTGAGAGCTTATCCGTGCCTTTGGCCACGGGAGTCACAACTCAGATAAGAGTCTTTCAGCAGACTCTGTGGCTCACTCCTACTGGGTCTGTTGGTAAATAAATTCGTTCAGATGATGCTTTTCATCTTTAGAAATAAATGAGCCTGTCACAGTATGACAGGTCATGCTCATGCACGTGTCACTTTTATGGGGAATTATCAGGGTTTTCTCGAGGACAGCTGTTCATGAAGCTCAGGCCTCCCTAAGCAAATAAATCAGGCCAGGTGCAGGCAGGTGTATTGTTGTAAGCCGCCCTGTCTGAAAGGAATAATGGGTCACTAGATAATGGAGCTTCTTTATTGTTTGCTAGATATGCCTCCACCGCAAATAACTAAGTTATCCTTGCTAAGTAAATGCAATTCCTGTTTTGAGAAATTTATAATCACATTGGGGAGATAAAAAGAATAGACATGAAACAGCCAAGTTTTCCAATCTGAATAAACTTGAACTACCTCTTTACTTTTCAAACTTGAGTACACATTGGAATCACCTGGAGAGTATTTTAAAAAAGTGTTATCTCCATCCTGGTCAGTCGGCTCACTTGGTTGGAG